CCAAACGTATGATGATTCATATTATCTGGATTACGCATAGCTTCTCTGCGATTTACGCTCCGTAATTTTAAGCGAAGCTTCCCCCCCCCCCAATACATTTTGCTGGATATGCCACTGTGCCACCACGTGGCAAGGAGTTTGTGGCTAGGAATGTGTCGGCGACGAATTGAAATTGACCCGTGACCCCGTATTTATAGTGGACTCTTTAAGTTCTGGCAAATTACTTCAACACCTTTAATTATCGCCCTCTCGCGAGCATATATTAACATACTAAAAAATACATATCCATACAAATTCAATACACGTCACATATGTAAACTAAACAGATTATTTAACCAAGTATGTACGGCAAATTATATTACCTGGTAGTTTATTAGCAAAATCAACGTTACATACTAAACAATAGTAATGGATAAAGCTGCAAATCGTGTGCAGACAATGGGCGGCCTGAATGGCTTACCGGTACAGTGTCGACCTTTAAACGTCAACAGAACTATCGTGTGGTGTCAGTCAGTGTAATTAATTTTTGACGACCAGACCCGGTAATACCGCGTTTGGATAGAGTCCCCCAAAATGACTTCCCCTGGTGCTATTGACAAAAGACTCAAAGTCGCAACCGGTGCTGCGGCAGCCGCCGGTCTGGTGAGATTCCTGTATCCATATTTTGGACGAGATTACAACGCTGTTCGAAGCGGACGAGCTTTTGCTAAATATGTCAAAGGAAACCTTGCTAAAAATCGTTATATTGTGGACCTGTTCGAAGATGCCGTTGAACGAGACCCCTACAAGACGTTCATCATCTACGAAAATACTATCTATACATATGGTGACATTAATACAATGGCCAACAAACTCGCTAATTTCGCCCGAGGAAAAGGATTTAAGGTTGGTGACTGTGCGGCCATATTAATGTACAACGAACCGGCTTATATTTGGAGTTATCTGGGTTTCGCCAAGCTTGGTATGAAATGCGCTTTTATAAATTACAATCTGCGAGCAGAATCGTTGATAAACTGTCTTGATGTCACTGATGCTAAAATACTCATGCTGGCAGATGGTAAGTTTCAACAGATCCAGGCTATTCATATTATTGATCGCGTTGTTCTGTAAGCTTACAAGTGGGTCAAAGTTCAGAGTTGACACATATGGTGTGTGTTTACCATAGATTAGCCTGGACTTTGGCGCATATATACTGTAAATATATCACGTACATTCAATGGAAGGGTGAAAAGTCGAAGTCTGAAAGCTTATATATTTCAATCTGGTATTATATTTGCATAAGACTCACTAAGTACATCATAAAGTCGAAATAGTGTATGCCACTATTATTGTTTACCATATATACTAGTAATGACCTAGCAATGTGTTGGTTGAAAAGGAACGTGATACTTTACGGATCACTTCACGTGTATTGTAAATGCATGTAGTCATATGCTTCTTTGTTTCTGTTATTAGGCCATTATACCTATTAAACAGAATACACTGTAATCTCGTTCTAATGAACGCTTTAGGTGACATATAGTGACATATATTAGTCTGTTATAGTGATTTTTTCACTATAGTGAAACACATAATACATTGGGGTTATTGTGAGCGGGAGACAGGCAGTGTGTTCATTATAAAAGTGTTCAATATAACGAGGTTACAGTAAACATATGACAGTTGTACTTTGACCCAATAAATATTAAGTCTAGCCCCCAAATCAACTTTGTGTCGATAATACAAAGGTTGTTATATACTTCACATTATGTCAAGTGGCACACTAAAGTCACGTGATGTAAATTTGTATTTAGTAGACATGGCTTGGCTATATATAATTGGTAAATACAGTAGGGGTGGAATGCTGACATTGCGATTTGTTCGATGAATTGTTATTGCCAACATGCAGTAGCATGTCTTCTGGTGCCTTGGCGCTAACATGTCACACATTTTGGCATTTACTATTAATGCGAATTTATCATTTTTGTTTCTAAAAACAAACACAAATGGCATATAAAATTTGAAATTAAATGCTGTCATTGTTCAACATTACACTCGGAAATTACCAGACGTATGACCTTTAGGATTCATACGTTATGCATATTAATTACACACTAACAATGTCATATAAGTTCCGAACATACCCGAACATCCGTGTTAATCGGGATAAGTTTAATCGAACAAAAATATAAATGTAATACCACATACTTGTATTAGAGCACTAGAGCTATTCTCTGCCGGTGTGACGCATCTACTGATCTATCTTATCTTTCTTGTCACTTTTTATTCGATCTTATTAGACCCCAGGCTCCTTTCAACAGTTGAAAATATTGCTGGGGAGCTAGAACAACGAAATATTGGAATATGGACAACAGGTTGCAATGAGAAAACAAAATTCCGGAATATAGATGATGACTTGGCAAACATATCAGATCAGGCCATACAGAGGGAAGTACGAAGTGCTATATTGTACAGTGATGTATCAATATACATTTTCACTTCCGGCACCACGGGTAAGTTAACAATTTACCGGTAAACCGCTTCTGTTTGTGAAAAACATATTTTTTTTTATCGAAGGCAATCACAGATCAACACAAGAGAACTGGTGATAGTTGTGAACCCTAACTACCTCAGCACAAAGGCTGTTGTGTAATGCAAGGGAATGTAAAGGGAAATGTATTGTAGTATTACCTCTGTGTAATTTACAATATATCCGCATTAACCTTCACTGTGAAGTACAATACAGGAGTTGACTTAAATGACTGGTAGAATCAAGGCTGGATAAATTTTGCGAAATAGTAGTTAGTCAGAATTTCCAGACACGCAATCGAGACACTGTATAATATCGAAATATGAATGACAAATAGCAGGTGATATTTCCAGAGATATAGTTGGAATTGAAGCAAAGGAGTGGCCTATTAATCCATGAAACATACTCACACGTATCATAATATGTACACAATTATAATAACTGGAAATGAATTCAGAACGGAAAACTGTTTTATTACTGTAAATAATTATGAGTAATAATAACTGAAATTTAGAAAAACTATGAACAATAAATTATGGAAATCTGTGATTTGCTGTACGGTTTCCAGAAAATAATTACAAGTCTCAGAAGTATTGGAGCAGCAAATTTGCAAACTCGCTAGCGAATTGGCTAACTGCTTGCGCTTTCACTAAACAGTTGGCTTTCGAATCTCGCTGGCGTCGCTCTGGGCTATTCTATATAACAGCATGGGAAGGTCGGCATCTTTATGAGCTAATCTTAAAGTTGGATGGCGATTTCGTTTTCAAATATACCACGGAAAGTGGTCTATGTTCTATTTGTAATGAGGTGTTCGTATACAAGGGATTGTTCACGCAAAAACGACAAATGGGTCGAATTTTATTAGCGGTTGGCTTAATGTTAACACAACGGATCGTTTGGATGTGACAATTTAATTTTCTCTCTGATTTGTAGAAAACTGTTTCTCAACTTGTCTCTTTATTTAGTTTCAAGCCGTGTTCAAGATGGCGACCCCATATAAACTGTAAATTACTCGTACTACTTTTACATTATCACGGCAAAACAAAGCAATTCGTCCAGGGGGGATCCAGACCAGTACCAAGCCACGTAAAAACATTCTATGTCACCTAAAGCAATATAGACTCGCCCAGAGTATACCCAACCACAGTGATAATAATAATAACTTTATTGCCTCCGTGTAAAAGATTTACATGGGATAAGTACAGCAAAAAGAAGTTTTAAAATAATAACAAGATGTATGTAAAAATATTATAAAAAAAAAATCAAGATTCAAAAGCCAACTTTGCGAGTTTGCAAATTGGCTGCTCCAAAACTTCTGAGACTTGCTGTAAGAGAACCATAACATTTATAAAAAGGACAGTGCTGAGATTCACTTTCATTATTTCAGTAAATACTTTTCACTCCGATCATGAAATCTCCCACAGTACTTCCGCAGACACAGTGGCGATCGCCAACATAACTACAAATAACCCTCGCTTTCAAGAGCTGACATCTTCGCCAGCCAAGGACCATTTGTTCGCCAAAGCCTCAACATTAACCATTGGCAGATTTCACCACGATTTACTGTATGTCGCACGCCCTAAAACGATCATAAGATTCACTTTGGCTAATTTTCACCACCCAATCATGAAAGAAACTACACATTACTTGGTAAAATTAAAATGGCGGAATCAAATAAACGTGTTGCTAGTTTTTCTCTGAACAAGCTCACTGATCATCAAAAGAAAGCGCTTAGTGTTGTATCTGAAGAAAGTGACGTGTCTGTTTCAAACACAGTGCCTCGACTGTGTTGCAGCAAAGACCGAATCTGGCAAGTCGATATGTTATCAGTTTCAACAGTTTTGTCAGTGTACTAAAACACAGTTTGCACAAATATTTAGACATTCCATCGTCATCATTCACTTGCCCAGAAACAATTTTCAACGTTGGAATAAAACATATTGGAAACGCAAAGCCAACACGCCGCCATGATTGTTTTAATCTGCAATGAGCTCCCCGATCTTTACATTTATTATACAGCAACTCTGGTTGGTGGCGCCAGCTCCTTGGCGTGCCCAATCAAATGACTCAGGTTAGCTGCAGTGAAATACAGCTTTTCCTAACACGATCACGCACGGGTTCGTGAGCCTGTTATTAATGGCCGGTTTTAGCGAAACTGTGCGATTTGGGCGATGAGAAGCTGGGGAATGCCATCGACGCTGTGAACGACGCCCCTTATGGCCCATTTAACGTTACAGAAGCATTTCGTCGATGGAGGGCGCGATTGTTAAGCATTGTACATTGAGACTGTACAGTGCATCAAACGTCACCAATCTGCTTATATTTCTAGGCCACCCTAAAGCATCGCGGATTTCATATTTTCGACAGATGAGGGCAATGTTCACGTTTAATATCCTTGGAGTCAATTCAAACGATTGTACGTACATTTGCCTGCCTCTGTACCATTCGTCAGCGACCATGCTGAGTTTTGGATCCGTGGTACGATCCGGTGAGTGAGATTTAAAACTTCTTCATTCATGAATATGACAGTGTTAAAATATTACATTGATGCCAGTTGTATGAATATAACTGACTTAACCCGGGATTACTCCAGTAACAGATCATGTACCCTATCGTCAAGTTCATTATCAAATATGTAATATAGAAGTATTATACCTGATGATAATTCGCAGAAAATGACTACATTTTATTTGTTATCACTTCATTTAAGCTGATACATATTACTGTCAAAAATACAACGAAAATTATCATCACCATCTTTCTTTAAATTATATTTGTACTGCTGTGATAATAATGTATAAAAGTATATCTGGCAAGATTTACATTCCACATGTTGTAATTATCAATGTCAACTATTGTAAGAAGTATTAGACTTGTGGGAATCTGAAACAGGATATTTAGCGCAGGCAAGGTTCTGGAATGAAGCATTCTGATTGGCCGAGACGCAATGTGTGGGGGTCGGGGTATTTTGCTTCATAAATTACTGTAGTGGTTTACATTGTTAATTTATAGTGTTTTTTTATTATTTTGGTAAAAAAAAGTTAAACGTAAAACAAACGACTCGAACAGGATTATGGGGAGTGGTTATAATAATAATTTATAATTATAATAATAAATGTATTGCAACCTCTACCAGGGGTTATTAAACTTTACTTTTTCTGGTTCACATATCATTTGAATATTCTCTCATCCAGTGTTTTATTCTTTAATTTACGACAGCATCCAGCATGGTCCTTGCAAGAAAGTTTTCAATCCATAAATTCTGGGATGACTGTCGTCGCCATGGTGTCACTATTATATTCTATATTGGGGAAACTTGCCGGTACCTTCTCAGTCTACCTGAGGTGAGTGGGTCCTTTCGTGTTAATCTCCACTTCTCATCGTGAATACGCGCTAATGACGAACGTACAACAGTAAACATGTTATGTAGACACTATGTTTGTTCTGTTGAGTCACATCATTGTTGTTACCTATATATACATACTCATTGTTCACTGCAGGAGGACTTGTTTTCCAAATCTGTTTTATTAATTTAACACTATATTGAAAGGGGCTAAGCCAGTGATAACTTTTATCATTGGGCCCTCTGTAGAAACAAAATACACAATATACACACTATAGGCTTGAGCCATTTACAACAAATTATTCACTAAGATATATTTTGTAAGTTTTCTTAAAAATGCCTAATTAGGCTGAATTTCTAACATGGGATGGCAAGTTATTCCATAGAGTTACCCCTCTATACTGAAACGTCCTTTGGACCAGAGATACTTTACACTTAGAAATGCAAAAATTAAGTAATTTTCGTGCATAGTATTTGATTTCCAAGCGTAAATTATTTTTATCCAATCGTAACCCCCCGAAACATCGATAACTGTGTACTTGTTAACATGTTAATATGCGTCCATTTCCTTCAGCATCCTGACGACAAGCGGAACTCTGTTAGAGTTGCCATAGGAAACGGACTCAGGCCAGACATATGGAAACGTTTTCAGCAGCGATTCAACATACCTCTTATACACGAGTTCTACGGAGCTACAGAGGGAAACTACTATTCTGCGAACACGGACAATACAATTGGAGCCGTTGGTCGTCTCTCTCCTCTAATCAAGGTATGTTTATAGGCTCTCTGCGACTAAATTGTTTGCTATAATTCCCAGACTTGGATGATTTTGATCTCAGTTAACACTGTTAACATTATTATACTATCAGTACCTCACTGGGTTTCATGTGGTCAAGTTCGATTATGAAACAGCAGAACCAGTTAGGGATTCCAAAGGTCGATGCATCCCCACCAAACTAGGTAAGAACTGCTGCTTTTTATGAAAATCTATCAGTCGTAAAAGGGTGAAAGTTCAGTGCCGATATGATTTCGATTTGTTGATCACGACAATAAAAAATTACATTTTTTTTGAGAAATTTTCAGTGGTTTAAGTGACGAGAACACAAGTGCGAACAGAAGCAAACACAGGTGTCGCTTTGAATGATATTGGTTTTATCTATCTACGTCATTTTCATGTCACATTAGTATCTAGAGGGCGCAATTTAGAGGAAAATCATGTATTTGCACCATGTTTTGTGTACATCAAATTTGCTGATTTCAAATTATGTTTGGTTTTGTTACTTTGACTCGACTCTGAACTCAGGGCGTTCAAAATGACAATGTACTTCATTCATTTAATTTCCATCCCTCGATCACGAGTATTCATATGCGTTCAATCTGTCTGTACGTGTGTGTGATCTACCAAGGTACTGCTGGTCTACTTATAAATCGCATCACTGAAATCGCACGATTCGAGGGATATGCTGGTAATAAAGACTTGACTGAAAAGAAGATTATTAGGAATGCATTCGTAGACGGCGACGCTTACTTCAACACTGGTGACGTCATGATGCTGGACAAGAACTATTATTTGTATTTTGTGGACCGACTTGGCGATACCTTCAGGTAGCCAATGTAGTAAATGCAGTTCAATCTGCGTGTATGAAGTGTGATAACGGCCCGAATATTTAACGTGTCGTAGTTATCTGAATAATATTCAGTGAGGGTACGACAAACACAACCAAGATATGAAAAACAAACAGTTATTCATCCCTTATCATGTGTCAATATAAAGTCAATAAACCACTATATTAGAACACTGCTGACAAATAATTAACTTTAGAATTTTACAAATACGTTGTTGCTGTGTATGGTTATTCAGACGTGCAAACACGTAACGGGCAGTCACGTGACATCGGGTATTTACCTGTTAACGATATTTTCTCTTACACTACTGTAAATAAAAATGTTTCTGTTCTAGATGGAAAGGTGAGAACGTTGCTACTACCGAGGTGTCGGACATTGTGGCTATGTTTCCAGGCATCTCTGAAGCCAATGTTTATGGTGTTAAAGTACCTGGTGAGTGTTTGTTGTTTTAGTTTTTGTGTTTCTTGTTTATGTAGTACTAGTATCTTGACTTGATGATGTTTTATTTTTACCATATTTTGTTCACGAATATATCAAAGTCGTTACATAACCATACTTCTATCTCGAGGGACAAAGACGTGTACAATCTTGGTAATGTTAGGTGCAATATAATAATTATTTATTTTTTTCAGATGAAATGTTGGTTTTCAATACTCGTGGCCTATTACGTAGTTGAATATTTTTTCCTAGTATCTTTACAATAATTTCCGATATTTGAAACTAACCCATACAAATTCAAATATGGATAGCTTCAAACAACAATTCTATAAAATGAAGTTATTACAAGAGCTTTAAAGGTTTTAACTTCAATCTCAGACAACTAATAAACAGACGGGCAATGCTATTGTCCAGAGGTGTCAATCGGCCTAATCCCCGGGGAACGTGTTTCTCGGCTACGCTGGTGGCTCACGCTTTGTCGAATTTTGCCGAATGGCGAGTACACACACCGGGAATCCTCGATCTCGCGTGCTTTCAGTCATTT